ATCGTGATTTGAAGAAGAAATATTAATCTTCAGTTCATCGCTGATACACACCGTTCATACGACTCTCTTCAATATAAGCTGATGTTCTATAAGGGACAAGACGGATATTGCATAAATATTAAACAACGACATCCCGTAACAAGTACTTTATTCATTATAAGCATCATTATTTAATTTAACTTGATATTTATGAATATATTATTACAGGAGCTGAAACAAACAAGAACGTTAGCTCGAAGGATTGCTATGCGTATCGGTTGATGATTAGACGCGGTCAGGACAAAATCATTCAACGATTTCGTGAACTTTGGCAACAATTCATAGTAGACATGTACGCGAAGATAGAGAGCGAACGACTACGATACTTACGATTTAATCAACAGAAACTGCGAGCGGAAGAATACAATCACTTGCGTAGGGCTATTGTAAACAACGCCGACACCGCAGAAATTGGTAATTCAGTCATTCTACCATCATCGTACATAGGCAGTCCACGTTACATGCAAGAATATATAAAGGAAGCTATGACTTTCGTGCAAAAATACGAACGGAAAAACATCGTACACTACATAAAACTTACAGATTGATTATGTTCCTTTTTGTGTTATTATGATTAGTGATTATGATATTATTGCGATATGTAAATATAAAATAGATTAATTGATGTTATTAAGTACAATGAATTAAAGAAATGGATGTTTGGTGTTTTGAAATTATGCTAGGTGCCAAGTTGGAAAAAAACGCATGTAATAAAACAAATTTCATTAAGATAAGATAAGCAGTTTCAGAATTATTAGTAGACAAATATAATGTGACACTTACTTTTTATATATAGACTTTTATTAATTAATTAATATATACAATAAAAAATTATATATTGAATTTTATTAATTAATAAATTATATTTGTTTTATCAGTTTTACGTTCTTTCATTTAACGATTTTTAAATTGATCTGATTTTAAAAAAGTTTTCACCTCAAAAAAACCACAGCAACGCGTGGCCGGGGCACCCTAGTAATTTATAAAAGTTAAAAAGAGTTTATAAATTTAAGTTTATTAACGTCCAGAGATATAATAAAAAATATAAAATAAATTACTTATTATAAATGAATTCCTCGTAGTTTAAAACTAAAACTTATCATAATAAAAAAAGTAATAAAATTAAAAAAAATCATGTGTGTAGATCACACGTGTTAGAAGTGAAACCTTCAAAAATCTAAGTTTCAAGAGAATGAGACGAATGCACAGTTTCAAGAGTAAGATAAATGTAGGATTTATTTATTATAATATTATTACCATATATAATAAAGATCACCGGTATGGTCTCTGGGTGTAATAGCTGATAAAAAGTACACTTTTCCTAATTCACAATGTTCAAATTATTGCTAAATGGCAAATAGTGACTAGTTTTTTCAAGCATGCATAAGTATAATTCGTTTGCGATTAGTATTTATGATACAATAACTGTAATTGTTATTTACGCATATATATATATATTTTTTTTTTTTAATTCCAATTTTAGAGAAGAAGAAAAGGTAAAAAAAAATTGATACTATAATTATGGAAACTCATGACAGATGATTGCATAAATCAGTGGTTCCCAAAGTGAGCGATATCGCCCCTTGGTGGGCAATGAAGCGGTCCTGGGGGCCAATGACTAGATAAAAATTGGCGGGTATATGAGTGCAATAGCAAATTACGCGTGTGCAATTAAAAAATAGTCATAAGTGTAATAAAATTTTTTCTCATTTCTCAGTTACTAAAAAAAAAATCACAAAATTAAGAAATTAAGAAATTAATTTTTAGGAGTCGATAAGCAATATTTTTTTAAGAAAGGTGGCGATAGGACAAAAAAGTTTGGGAACCACTGACATAAATAAATAACCACCGGTCAATGCAATCTCACGTTATTTAATAGTAATATATTTTAAAACAATTACTTAAACTGGAATAACAAATTAATCATTCGATGCTAAAAATCTCATATTATTAAATTGGAAAAGTTACATCGTTGTGTAACAAAGGTTAAATTTGAAATAGATAATTGACACTTGGAAAATATTAATTATTTTTATTTATTTTGAACTATACGAGCCTCTGGGAGCATAAAGATTTCAAAATATCCAAAAAATAAAGACTACCCTAATATAAATGCATTAATTTCTCTTTAATTTTTGTTTTAAAATCGATATCAGACAATCACGATATAAGAGGATTTACGTAAATATGTAAAAAGAAAAAAGGATAGGAAAATATACACATGTTACGTATTGTATACATATGTACTTGTACATATATATCTATATACTGGATTAAATAAAAGTGGTTTATACAGAAAAAGAGAAAAAGGTATATAGTTAAATGATAAATATAATAATAACAATTAGATAAAAGAGAGATGAAAGTTCTTACATATTCGAGTACATGAGACCAATATATGTATATATAGCATTAAGAATACTTAAAGTATATAAACTTAAAACTTAAATGAATACTCTCGATACTGGCAGTAATAGTTGGCATGGTGTTATCTGATTAACAGAAAAAAAGAAACAAAAAAAAAATCATAAAATATATTATAAAAGATAAAATTCGTTAATATAACATACAAAAATGATATATTTTGTTTGATAATGTTTTTAGCCTTGGTCAATATGATGAAATATATATATATGTATATTATTACAGTAGAAATAAACATATACATATTTTTATTCGCATATTACACGTTTGTATATGTTGTTTGTATATACGCGTATATATTTATATCAGTGATCCCATTCGTACGATAATTATCGTACGCGTCACATAATTTGAAGCCTTGTACGATCCAAAATTCAGCCTGTACGATAATTTTCGATTTTACGATAATTATCATGTTCAATTTGGAAATTCGAAAACTTGATGACCTTTTTTTTTCTTCTTTTTTCTTTTTTACTCATCAAATTTCGAGAACAACCACTGCACAATCTGACCTGTCTTCCGTAACGACGTAAGTCGCACCTACGACACCTTCTTTGGACTTAAAGACTAAAAAAAAAAAAAAGGTCATTATCAACTTTTTCAAAGTTGGAAATTTTACTTTATCGTGCGACGAACTAAAGTCTGATCTATACATCTATATTTAATTAATCATCTATCGCAGTTAACTATGGCAGTCTATCGAAACAATCGTAAAAATCTTATTTACGCTTAACGATTTGTACTCCACGATTGTTTTGGTACCCGGTGCTAAAAAGTGTTAGACTTTTTTTTGTTAAATTCTACTGTTATATTCTTTTTCTCATTTGCATTTTTTGTTTTTTTGATTAACTAACAATAAGATCGAATAAGTCAAAAAAGAAAAAGAGAAGAAATAAGAATAAGTTCACATTTTTTCGTTCGAACGCGCATTGAACAGGCGTCAGCTGCGCGCTTCGAGATACATGAAGCGCTATAAACTTGTACATTTGTAGTGTGACGTGTGATTTTGCTTTTGTTTGAGACAACAAGCAAATACTTCGATGTTCATTTCCGAACTGATACATGTATATTCGCTTTACTATCGCACGTCGAACGCCGTGCTAAGCGCGCTGTGTGTACCGCGACCAACGCGCGCTCAACGCAACGCTGACCATTCAATATGAACTTACCCTAAAAGAGAGAAAAAAATAGAAAATGAGAAAAAAAAAAAACAATAATAATAAAGAACTACGCCAGGCTAAGTTTTGTTTTGTTTCTTTTTTTTTTTTATCAAAACACGAATTCATCTAATTATTATTATAAACTTTTTAGCCTTCGTAGTTTTCGAAATACTATTACCATTACTATTATTACTATTATTATTATTATTATTATTATTATTATTATTATTATTATTACTGTTATTTNTTTTTTAATATTAATTATTATTTATTATTATTATTATTATTTTTTTTTTTTTATTATTATTAATAATATTAATATTATTACATACTGTTCGGTTGTGTTTCGAGAATTGTTAATTTGTTAATGCTGCGAAACTTAACATATTAACGTATTTATTATATGTCAATAATAAAAATTAAAAGAAAAAATACTATGGCGTTAAAAAATGTACATTTTTAAACAATTATATGACTAACGACAATATATTGAACACGTCGTTCTCTACTATTATGTAATTTATTTCAAATATGTTTTTTTTTGTTTTAGAAACTTTTTCTTGCATAAGTTAATTCGTTTATATTATAATTTACGTATGTTTGTGTGCGTTCATTTGTACATACGTCGTGGAAGATATATAAGTATGGCAGTGTGTCAAAATAATTAAGTCAGTTTATGTAGTGCGTTGGCACCTTAAATTATTAAATGATTTCTTTTTCTTTTTTTTAAATCAATTACCGCTTTTTTCTATACATATTTTATACTTTTCGTTAGATTTGTGTTTAAAAAAATCTAACGGGGAAAAAACAAAGTAATTAGTTTAAATTGCCTTAGAGTAAAGTAACTAGTTTTCATAATTATTTAAAAACTTTTGGCCTGCCTTGTATCTTTTCTTTGCGCATGAGACAAAGAGAGAGAGAGAGCATACGAACAATATTTATTTTGTTTCGTAAGGAACGATTCAGAATAAGTGAGGCAGTGATGATTTTGATTAAATCCCTCGATCTATGTATACTGATGAACATGATTGATAAGGACCGCATTTAAAACTTAACTGATGTATTAGGTGCCAATCGAGGAATTTTACTTATTTTTTGGAGCTCGTATTTTTTTATATTTATTTCTAAAAAATAAACGATATATAATATATTGATTAATGTAAAATTCAAACCGACAAAAAGAAATTTCTTTCAGTTATTATTATTATTATTTTTCTTTTTAAATTTAAATTTTAACCAATTTACTTTTATCAATTTTTAAAACATGCAAGAATATCCGCAGGTATATGCAGTATGTTTGTTGGAACAAAAGTAGAAAAAAAATTATGTCTACTATTTTATTTAATAATATTTTTACTTTATTCTTTTATATTCGAGTTTATTTAATTTTTTGTTAATTTTTCATATTGGAAATATATACGTATACCTGTGGGTTGTATTTTATTAAAATGAGGTTTCATTTCGATTGTAGCAGCACCTAAGGGCTTCAAAAGGTATAAATGCGACCTTATATATAATTCTAATGATTCCTATATTAACGACAATGTATACTTATACAGTATGTAACGTCGTTATTCATTTTTGTTCTCTCACGTTCTTTGGCAAAACAATAGATATAACTCTAAAAAAATGATTCGTTCTATCCTTCTTCTTCTTTTTTTTGTTATATATATATGTATTTTTTTTTCGCGATGTATAAAAAAAAGTCTCATCGTTATTGTTCTTCTTTCACCAATTTTTTTTCTCGCTGAATTTTCCTTAAAGCGTATTTGCAAAGAAAAAAAATTAAATATGGCGATAAGAAGTAATTTTAGGCAATTATTTTAGGCAACTCTTGGTGGTGTCCAATGACATGCCCTAATTAATTTTCCTTTTAGAGACATTTCTCTGTATGTGGAAGACTTTTTCAAATTCCTCCAGTTTTTTTCTGGAAACTGTAAAAACATATGTAAAATTCATATGTTAATTATTTATATTAATAACAAACATATATATATACTGAATTTAACCCTTTGCACTCCGCTGTCCCCTCTCAGGGGACATTAAAGTTTATTAGTGATTATGGAGAATTAAATTATTTCAGCGCAACTTTTTGAGACATGCATGTTCCCTGATGTTTTCTTTTGAAATGGCACAAGACTTAAAATCAAAATATAGTAAAATTACTAAGGATATATAAAAGAAAAAGGTGGAAGAGAGCACGAGAAGCGTGCTCACGACGCTCCGAGCACTTCTCGGCGCCACTTATCATCGCTTGATAAATAAGTCTGAAAGAAAAATTTTACGTGAGTTATCAGATAACTATTATAAACAGATTGGGATTAGGACACTAAGAAACTATTCTGTGTCGTGTTTCTACCTTGTCGCTTTAGCCAGTGCTTTGGCACCAACCAGCAGAAAACAACAAAAAGTTCTAATAAATAATTTTTTTTATTTGCAATGCAATGAATTTGTACCTTTTTTAACATTTTATAAAGTTATTTTGAAACATAAAATTCTTGTGATGGAGCTTAGTCTGGTTTGAAGCGTCGAGCGATATAGATAGATGTAACGAGTGAGAAAATCGGAAAAGTGATTCTTCTCTTGGTAAATAAGTTCTTTTGGTAAATATCATTTTGCGAGTTAGTAACAAATACAAATTTTCATCCCATGTATTTATACATTTTTTTTTATTAGAACCATGGGAAAACGTTCAAACACTATTTATCATACTTACAAAATTATAAAAAATAAAATATGGATTTTTTTTTGAAAAAATATTTTTCTCGATGCCAATTTATATAAGTCCAATATCATTTGAGTCCGTACTTGGTTCCAAAGTTATAGTAAATAATACGAGGGTTTGTAAATGCACCGTTTCTGCCGTGAAGTAGCGTGGAGTAGCTGGTAGCCAACGTTGAAAATCGTGCGGAGTGCAGAGGGTTAATATATGTATTATGATATATAGAAAATATATAATTAGAATACAGACCTGAATAATCAAACGAAGTGTTATTTTGCCTGTTAAGGTGGTAAAACATCCAGTTTCAGACCTGTCTTCGGTATACAAAATCCGCAATCACCGCCACATTTACCAATAACTTGTTGATCATTCTAAAACGATTAAATTTTTTGTTTATTAATATTATTTTCATTCTAACTCTACTTAAAAAAAAATAAAACAAGGAAATTTATAAAAAATAAATAAATTCATCTTGAAATGCTCACTATTTTATTGATCGAGAGAACAGTACTAGACGTTAAATTAGTCCAAGTAACTTCTCGTGCCAAGCTTAAATGTGTACCACTCAAATTAATGCTGAAACGACCTTGAGGACAATAACGAGTACTATAACAATCCCCGGCTTTACCAAATTCTACTCGATTTAATCCTTTAGTTCGAGAAAATGTATAATCGTCAGCTGTTAATTATTAATAATAATGAAAAATTAATGATCAATATTTTTTAGCATGCAAAAATAAATGAAATACGTTTATATGTATTATTTGAAGAAAAAAAAATATAAGAGAATAATTTTATTTACCTATAATATATAATCTGATAGGATCCAAACGAACTCTTTTGAACATCGTTATACCTGATATTGTTCTTCCATAAGTGAAACATTCACAACTATCGTTCCTTTCTCCATTGTAAGGACATGTTTCTGAATATCGTAACCTATTTTTAAAACAATTAGAAAGATCATTATTTACATACACATATATATGTATAAAAATAAACTTGAAAATTTTATTTTTATTTTTTTGTGGAAACGAGTAAGTATTGAATCTTATTGTTTTCACAATCTATTTTATTAGTAATTTTATTATCTCAGATAATTATTTTATACATCAATTATTATTAGTATTATTATAATATATAATAAATTAAATATTAATATATTTATTTTTATAGTACCTTTTGTCATATATTTCAGCATAATTATCTTGATCACCAGCCGGTAATGTTAAATATTCTCGTGGTTTGAATGTCGACATTTCGTAACAATAAATAGACATTGATTTTCCTCCGATAAATAAAGAATATTCTCCATCCTTGGTAGTTGAGAAATGTTTCTTTGCTTCGACACAAGTTAAAGGTAGACATCTTCGTTGATTACAATTGCGTTTATTTTTAGGTTTTAAACTTGATGGACAACTTGATGCCAGTTTACCATTTCTGTCGACGCAAAAAACTTTACGTGTTTGTTTACCTTTAAAACCACACGATTGAGTGCACTGTAATTAATTATATAAAATAATTTTTATTTTAATTAGTTATTAATTAACGATATTATTATTATTATTATTATTATTATTATTATTATTATTTTGTTAATACTTAAATAAAAATATTATATATTTATAAATATTTCATTGTAAGAGTAATTCATTTTACGTACATTATTCCAATCGCTAGTTTTCCAAATATATGTATCATTACATTCACGCAATTTACATGTTTCTTTCGTATGAAGTCTTTTATTCATCGAACAACCTTTAGTAATTTCTGGATCAGTCCAACCGTAACGATTAACTTTATGGCATGTTACGTTACGTCGTTTAATTCCATCCCCACATTCTGCCGAACACTTGAGAAAATATATAATACTATTATTATGTTTTATCGTTGATTAATCATGCGCGATTATATTCAATAACAATTCATTTTTCTTTCATAATAAAATAAACATAGGAAACACAATTAAATATATAATTTAATGAAGAATAAAAATGAACATTCTTTATAAGGGTTTTGAACTTAAAAGATAAATAATGATAGTTATAGTAGTATCTTTTGTCGTGACAGGGGAGGATATTATACCTCCGACCAAGGTCCTTCTTGCCAAATGTAACCATAATTACATGGTTTACGTTGACATTGCCTCTCAGTTTTTGGTTTTTTTAGGCCAGCCAATTTAGTACATTCTTCTTCGTTCACTGGTTTTTCCAATCCATTCTTTCCTATGCTCCTCATGCATTCTATTCTTCGTGTTCTTATTCCACCGCCGCACGTTTTCGAACACTAGAAAAATATTTGAAAAATTTTTAGCCACAAAATCTCTCATTCTTTTTTTTTCAATCTATTTTCTAATATTTGAGTTAGTTTTTTGTTTGTTTGTTGATTTGAACTTAGGATATACTTACAGCAGACCAACCAGATTTTTTCCATCTACGAATGATAACTTTTGGATGATGATTATTCTGATTTCCTTGATTGTTAGTAGTTCGACAAGATTGATGACATTTTTTGGTATCTTTAGGTTTAGGTCTCCTAACACTTGAACATTCTTTATCGTTTAAAACTCCACCTCGTGGACTTTGACATCGTACTTGTCGACGTTGAATTCCATTACCACATTTAACGCTACACTGTGTAAACGAATTGGTATATATAGATGAAATTCTCATCAAAAATTACATCAATTTTCTCTATTTATCCGTATTTAATTATAGAATAATTATCAAACGAATTCGATTGAATTAGTTCAACATACCTCACTCCAATCTCCAGTATTCCAAATCGGGCATAAATGATCATTGCAGGGTATCGTATTGTTTGGTTTATCATCGGGATTGCATAGATTTTCATTAACGTACATGTTTGTTTCCATTGATATACATTTGACTGTTCTTGTCTTGAATCCACCGTTACATGGTTGCGAACACTTTATAATTTATAAAACATAAGTTATATCATTTTTTCATATATTTTATTTTTAATTATATAATGTATCTATATTATTTTATAGTATAGTTAAATTTATTATAATGAAGAAAAAAATATAGATACATAAATATAAAAAACATTCATTGTACTAATATCAAAATTACGTATACAAAATATATATATATATATATATATTTTTTTTTTCTTGATTTATTATAATCATTAAAAGTAGAACAAACCTTTCCAAATGATCCAGTGATCCATTTGTTAACTGGATGGAAACTAATACCATTGCTATCTATTTCGTTATCCTGAGGATAGGATTCTTCATGTGGTATATTAGAATATATTATTTGATTTGTCTGTATAAACACGTAATCAATTATTGATTTTAAATTTGCAAAATATATGAAATATAATATGCAGTTGCATGCAAAATTATCCGGCCAAACATAATTTTTTGATTATGTAACATATAAAGGATGAAAAATGCAAATACAAATATATCATCGTAAAGTATTTATATTTTGTTATAAAATCATGTAATTAGAAAATTATATATAACAATTTATAATTATTTATAACAAGAATAACAATTTTTGGTTTTTCATAAATATTTGGCCAAGCACAAATTTCGCACTATGTATACAAAAAACTAAAGAAAAAATAATCAGAAGTAGTAATAAAAAATAAATATAAGAAATAAATGTTAATTTTTCATCAATATTTGGTGGCCATAGCATTTGCAGCTATCACAGCAGCACATCGGTGAGGCATCGATTCAATTAGTTTAACGATTCTATCTTGAGAGATATTTTTCCACTCTTCTTGAACTTTTTTTCACAAATCAGCTTTATTCGCACATGTTTTAGACACTAATTTTAGTTTTAGCTCTTGCCATAAATGCTCTATGGGATTTAAGTCCGGAGATTGACTTGGCCACTCTAAAACTCGGACTTTTTTATGAGAAAAAACTTGTTGAAGGAGCTTTGATCGATGTTTTAGATCATTATCCTGCTGAAATATCCATCCTGGTGGCATGTTTTAACGTGCATAAGGCTACATTACATATAATATGATATCTCTATATTTGATAGAGTCCATTGTGTCTTCAATTTTAAAGATTGGGTTTGATAAGAACGCCTTTCCAAGAAAATGCACCCCATAGTATAATGCTACTTCCACCGTGCTTTACAGTGGGTATTTGATATCTTGAATCATATTTAGTACCTTTTTGGTCGTTGAACATATCTCCTCCCATCGTTTCCAAACACATTAACATTAGTTTCATCCGAAAATTGTTGATATTTCACGGGAGACTTTTCCTTCATCGTGTAATTTAATAATTAATTTACGAATGTTTAAAGACGTGCGTTTCGGCATTTTGATGAAGTGTTACTGATCGTACAATACAGACAGGACAACGAACTAAATATTTACATACATTCGCGACTGATAACGTAAACTTAGCGAAGTAAATTACATTCTATTTTGATTAATAATACCTTTATAGAACATGGCCGAATATTTATGAAAAACCAGAAATTGTCATATTTGTAACAAATAATTGTTAATAGTTATAAACAATTTTTAAATTACATATTTTGAAAGCATAATAATAACGCTTTACAATGATATGTTTGAGTTTTCATTCTGCATTTTTTAAACCATACTAAATGATAAAATTATGTTTGGCCGGATAATTTTGCATGCAACTGTATATAAGAAAATTCATTGATTTTACCCCTGTAATACATGGTTGTAATTCGCATGAAGTCCAATTGTCTGGTTTATTCGATGGTAAACATTTGTCAGCGATTGAACCATCCGTACCTTTACAAATAACTTTTCTCGTTTTCACTCCTTCTCCACATGTTACTGAACACTGAATAAAAATGATAAAAAATCAAATTTTATAATAATTTATTTATACAATTAATAATGTTATTAATACGTCTGTTAAGTTTTTTTTTTTTTTTGTAAAGATATGGAATGCACAAAATTATAGAATCCTGTACTGTGTGTTTGTATTTTTTCAATTGACAATTGATTAACCCATAAGTGTTTTTGTATAATATGATATAATAATTATAATATAAAATTTACCGGATTCCAACCGGCAACTTGCCAAGAGTAACAAGGCCCAGCATCGCAAATTTCTTTAATTGAAAATTGTTGTAATGTGCCATTGCAATCGCTATCCTGAACAACACGATTTTCTACGTGACACCAATAAAGTCTATGACGTTCTCCAATGCCACAGCTGACCGAACACTATCATAAATAATATATTTATATATTATTTTATCGAATATAAATTAAAATTAAATGCAACATAAAAAAAATAAATATACATTAATATATAATAATATTATATATTTGTACATATAAAAATTGATAGAAAAATTGCAATTGTCATAAAATCTTACTTTGCTCCATTCACCGAATATCAACTTGGGACAAGCTCCTTGACCGCAGATATTTTTCAATCTCTTTTTTTGACCAGCACAAGTTTCATTTAATACTTGTCTATCATTCGAATCAACACACGTTGCCATTCTATATTGAATACCACCTCCACACGTTACACTGCACGCACCCCATTCGCTATATTTCCAATGAACATCATTACACGGACCTTCGCATGGTTCCAATTCATTAGGTCTTTTCAAATGAGAACACAAATGGTCGGGTAACGAATGTACTAAGTTACTGTTATATAAGTAAATTTGTTCGCATCTACTTGTAATTATGCGAGTCCCTGGACCACAATGACTCGAACATTCAGATTCTGATGTTATTTGCCATCTAAAAGTAATAATTTTATTTATTTATTTCTTTTTTGTATTTTAGAATAGAAAAAATTGTTTAGTTTAAAATTTTTGTTGAAAATAATCTTTCTCATTTTTCTACGTGAGACGATGATGATAACTTACTGTAATATACAATGATTATTACACATTTGACTTTCTTCTCTTGGTTTTATTCTATTATCAACAGCACGACAATAATCGTCATTTACGACTTCCTCGTTTTCGGTACTTCTACATTCAGCTTTACGATATTTTGTACCTTGACACACACGACTACATTCTGACCATTCTCGCAATACCCATTTGTAACTTTTTAATATTTTTTTCGGTACGGTATATTCATACGTAATCTGCGGCGGATGTAACATTTCAACTGATAATACCTATAAATTATATTGAAATATTTTATAATTAACAACTTTTTATTATTATTATTATTTTATATGATATTTTTGGTGGGCGAGTATAATTAGGAAAATTGTGTTGAAATGATTTTTAATTTAAATTTTTATAAATTTAATTGTGTTATAACGAAGATGTTTAAACTTTTGTATATAATGTTTCATTCTATATACTAAATTGGTATTTTTTGCTTATGATATATATGCGTATACATATATGTTTACAACTCTTACGTGAACAATATATAATAAGAAAATTTATATATGTAATATTTAATAATTATTATTTATTATATTCTTTTACTCGTCCATCAATAATATATTATTTTTTAGAATTAAAGATTCATTGTGAAATATTATTTAAATCATTTGAAGTAATACTACCTACTTCTAAAATCAAATCCGTACTAATAGGTCGTGAACTATTTAATCTTTCGACGATGGATTTAGGTCCACTGTATTCAATCGTAACACCAGGAAATACTACAACTTTTTTATGCATGATAACGAAATTTCCATTTAGTATATATTTTCCATGTTCACCAAGACGTAAAGCTACAAATATATTTCCAATCATTTATATTGGTTATTGAGATAAAATTATAATATAGATCAGAGTTTAGCAAATATTTTCATTACAAAAAAAAAACAAGTAATCAAACTGATGTTAATTGATTTACGATGGAAGATACTATCTTTGATATATTGAAGGACAAATTGCAAGCTTTGATTTTTCCTAAATACATTGGTATATAAGTACAGTTATTTGTATAAAATAAATTTGTTCTATTAAATTTAAATTAAAAAGAAATAATAATAACAATCAAAAGAATCATCTTTATTAACTTTTGGCATTGTACAAATACTTGATCGGTTTTTCATATATATATATTTATTATTATTTGATAAATTTAAAAAATGTAACTCCAAGCTTGCAATCAATGATAAATATGATTTTGAATGTACTTTTTGCTGTATACATATGTACATAAATTTAGGGTTTGAAACAGTTTTAAAAATAATGATTATAAATTGTTAAATATTAAAAAAATCTAAATAAATATTATAAATAATTTGATTATAAATCCCCTAATTATAATACAGTCATCTTACCAAGGTAATTATCATCATAATGAGATTTAAACCAGCCATGTTGTCTGATGTCGATGTTGCTACTTCCAGCAGGTATTTTGGTAACTCTGTTATATCCGTATGCGGTTTTATTGTATGAACCATTTATTCTCTGACATGTTGAATTGTCACCACGGCATACCCCACATGTGTCGAGTTCTGCTGTCGAATCTAAAATGTTATCGCATCCTGCGGGTTTGCAACGACCGTTCACGCAGAGATGAAACGTGTCCGGTCCGCAGGGCGTACCGTCGATCACTTTATCGCGAAGCATGTAATACTGATTGCTTTCTACTTGACAGTACAATTTGCAACGATCTTCCGGTTGTACTAGAAATGTAATTATAACGATTTTATACTTTTATAAATAAAATTCAACGAGATATATATATATATATATATACATATATATGTATGACCAACCAGAATTCATGCCATGCAGAAGCGATCGAGTAGGATGTTATTGATCATTATATTATCTATTAACAATCAAAAATCATTAATTATTATTATTTTAAAACTATTTATTTATATGAAAAAAAACTTTTTTATCTTTTTTTTACATTTATTAATCATTATTATATAAAAAAAAGTATCGGTAGTAATGTTTTAATGAACATTAAGAAAAATAAGTATACTTTTATCAAATTTAATATTTACCTCATTAACTTAATTTAATTTGGATTAATACAAATGTTAGTTTGTGATTTTTGTTTGAACATAGATGATATAATTTCGTGGCACCACTTGCGTATCTTAAGATATTATTTAACGAATTTTCGAAATTTATTTCCACTTCGGATATTAAAATAAGGTATTTTTTATTTTATATTTTTTTTGGTTTGAATCCAAATGTGTTTAATAATAATAATAATAATAATAATAATAATAATAATAATAATAATAATAATAATAATAATAATAATATCACCCAATCTACTCACTATATTAAGTTGTTTCAAAAGTTTCTTTTACCATCTGTACGCAATTACTTTATCTGACGGTTTGTAATATATAAACATATAAGAGCTTATCTGCCAAATGTTAAGTTTTTCAGTTATCGTTTAGTTTCATTCATAGTAATTCTATATACAGGCTTTTTTCATACGTTTTGAAATATAAAAAATTAAAGCAAGAATAGCATTTGCGATAATGTAATGTCGCACTATTTAAAAAAATAAAAATAAAATAAGTATACATAAAAATATAAAAAATATTGCAAATGTGAATGAAGCAGTAGTTATCGCAAAAATAATTCGTTAATGTCGCGCGTATTATTTTATATATTAAAAATTTTACTAGATTATCGTATAGATATAAAATTAGACTCACTCCGAGCGTATTTTGCGTGCCAAATTACATCCCTCGTTAGATTAGGTATGTTAAGATTGTTGTTGTTGTATTCCTGACACTGTTGTTCCCTAATACAACGAAAACAGCTCCGATAAAAAACATTTTATTTCTTACATTAGTTATAGATAATTTCGAACAAATATAAAATCGATTATCATTTCTTTTGTGTTCATACCTAAAATCTGGACTACCAGGTGGACATTCGTTAGTAGCACAACTTTCGTAATTGACTTGTTCACCTACGCAATAATTTCCACCATTTTGCGGTGGTGGATTATCACATTCTCGATATCTTTTCTTAATTCCACCGCTACAGGTGCGCGAACATTCCCCGAAAGGACCCCATGGACCCCATTCTCCGTCGATAGGATTTAAATCGATTTTAGATACGCATTCACCACGTTGACACCATTTTCCTCTGCCACAGCTGGTACCATCTGCCCAGGGTGTGTGTTCTGTGTGACACAGGTCGTCCCACATTGGAACGGTACACCATAGTGTCCTGCACACTGACTGGCCGATAATCGACCAATTGTTTCATTTACTTTTTTCGTTTTTTTTTTCTTTTTCTTACGTATATCGATTAACTAACACCAATTAAAATTTGTTAATAATTTATTGACTTTTTTCTTCTTCATCTTCTTTTCTTTTTCTTATTTTTTTTTTCTTTTCTTTTAATTTCTCGATACAAAAGTGTTAATTAAATGCGTAATAATTTACTCCTTATTCTGTAATCGTTCGAAGGAACGTTTGTGACTTACCATTACTCACCATGTCATGGCAAATCTTCGATCCTAGACCGAATACTAATTCGCATTGTTTGTTTTGGGAATAATCAATTCCAGGTAGTCGTGCTGCGTCTGGTTTTTGTATACTCTTGCTTGGTTCATCCAATAGACAGTTGGCACGATCCGTTCTGTTATCAAATTCAATAAAAATGTTATTTATTTTTTATTAGATAACTATTTACTTAGTATATGTATTATATATCGTTTAATTTCTATTGAAAAATTAATTATTATATCGCGTGTATTGAATCAATCCTTAACTAATGATAATTTAAAGTTTAAACTTTTGGAAATAAACGAAACAACACCCTGTGTGATCGGTAAAAGAACTTCTTCAGTTAGAATCTCGCGAAACCGGATTCCTAAGCGGGGAGAAGCAAAGGAAGCTTCTTCTTCTCTTCTGCTTTGAGAGAGAAAAACTTGTAACACTGGCTCACTTTATACAGTGAGCACAGGACCCGAACTGAATTCATTCATCCTTTCTACGAATGTGTGTGTTTTTTATTATTATAAAAATAAATTTTTTATCTTTCAATAAATACAATAAATCTTTTATATATTAATGTGTCACTTTAATCGAATAACGTTAATGTTTTTTTAATTTAATATTCCTATATTGATTGGACACAACAATTTGAAAATATATATATTTCTCTATTAGAAGAAATCTTGTTTTTTAACGTGAAACAACGCAAACATGGATGATTGAACGACACATTTTTTGTATGTCCAATTTATTCTTATATCAGAAAAAAAACGAAACTTGGAAGTTGAAATTTATTCTTTTTTTTCATATGATATCATAATACAAAAGTAAGTATGTTTTTTCAGAAAAAGAAAAAGAAAAAGAAAAACAAATAAGAACAACTATGAAAATATATTCCAATATGATTGGACTCATGAAACATTCTTTACATTGAACGAAAGTGTAATAACTCGTTGGGTCAATTCAAATAGACGATGACAGTAACTACTGTAACATTTTTGAAATTGAGTCGATTCGTTATTCCCTTCTTCTTTATCATCTTCATTTTCTTCTTCTTTTTTGTTCCTTTTTCTTTTTATTATTACTATTAATATTATTATTATTATTGTTATTATTATTATTATTATTATTATTATTATTATTATTATTATTATTATTATTATTATTATTATNTTATTATTATTATTATTATTATTATTATTATTATTATTATTATTATTATTATTATTATTATTATTATTATCTTTGGCAGAGACAAATCATTCTCTTAGGTTTTATTTAATTCTCGTATATAAGAGAGAACAAGAAAGTGTCTCCTTATTGAGTTAAGCGATAAATGAGTCATCATCGTCACACTGTGTATACGACGAATGTCCAAGAAAGAAGTTGAACTTTCCAAAGAGGGTGAACACGTTTCACGTTGATTATTATTATTATTATTATTATTATTATTATACAGGGTGACCCTCAAATAGAACCGATCTATTTGACCATTTTGATAATCTATATGTTGTATTGTGTTGTGTTCTACTTACTCGAGAAATTCTGTAACATAATGACGTGAACATCTAGACCATTCCCAAGGAAAGGTTTCATCGTCTAACATCCTGAACATGACTTTGTGTACTCTCGAATGATTACGAAATTCGTCGCATTTGGAATCGTCATCGTGCGGCATGTTTAAACTGTTTAAATAATAAATTTATAAATCAAAATAATTATATCCCGCTGAGTATTATAATAAATAAATAAATTAAAAATGTATTATTTGTTTTAACTTACACATGACCGATTTCGTGAGCTATGGTAAATGCTGCAGCCAAACCATTGTCTTGTACTATTGCACAGGACGCATCTGGGGAACACATTTTGCCTAATTCAGCAAGACCAAGTGTATCGCAACGTATTCCTCCAGGATTAAGGCACAGGTTATGTCTAAAAATTTATATACATATATATATGTTGATTAATGTTGATTAATGAAGTGATGAAAAAGTTTATTTTCAAAGTAGCCTAAGTCAATTTGTCAATTATGATTTCCCGGTTGATTGTGGTTATTTATAATGATAGTAATTTTTTGAGTGGTAGAAATGTCATTAAAAAAAAATAATTTACTGTTTGTCCCCAAAGATTATTATAATATTATCAAAAAGTGTCGGAATAAGTAATAACTTTATTGTAAATAAAATGACTTTGTATGAACAAAATTATTAAAAAGAGCAATTTTTAAAAGAGTATATAATTCTAACGGTGAATCAATAAACTGGTTAGAAATATGTTAAGAAGTGGTTTGTCAGAATGAACCGTATCAAATTGTGTATAAGACATCAATGAATGAGAATGAAAATTTGAAAGTTCTGAATTTATTAGCACGTCGTGGTAGACCAAGAAAGTTTGACAATATTGTATTGACATCACTTATCAGAAGTAAGAAGTTTATAAGTTTATAATACTAGAAGAAATAATTTGAAATAATATCGAGATTAGGATATAAACTTTATCTAAATATACGAATTTAATTAATGTCATAATATTTTATTATATATTAGGTTTGATTTAAAAAAAAATAATATAAAAATGATCTAAAAGGGAGGCTTGAGAAAAGAAATCATTTAGGAATACTTTTGATAATTTATGTGAATCTGTATTTTAACAAACCTGGTAAGAAGTAATGCCACATCGTGATGTTCTGGTGATGGTTCATCAGGATTGTTAATTTTTTGCCAACGACAAAATTGATTCAACATGTCAATAGCAGTTACCTCGTAGTTATCGTCATAACTTTTTCCAAACACTTTGTCAGCGTGTACAATTTTTGTTACGAATATGCTAACAGGATTTCCAATTGATCGGTCCTTGTAAATTCGGGAAACCTGAACGGAATAAAAATTAATGAAAAATAAAATTCAAATAATATTTTGTATATATGTGTGTGTATATAATTGTAATAAGTAGATTAAAGTAGTTTTAACTTTGTTAACATATATAACAGTTTTAAATAATTATTGTTAACATATTAACAGCCTTGATATATATATATATTAGGGTGGGCCAAATTTATTTTAATAGAAAGATCCTCCGCATCGCAGTTTTTTATTTTTTTTTCAGTCTAATAGAATAAAATTCATACCTCATTATTTATTGATTGTACAGAAAAATGTTCTAGACAAATTTTGTAGGAAATTTAATGCTCTACAAAAAAGGTATCTTATATTTTTTCCGTGAACCTCACCATTTGAATGATATTGAAAATTTAAATTTGATGATTTTTAGACAAATCTCATTTTTGCTTATGAATTTTATAACTCGACAATAAATGACTATTAAAAAGTGCACAATACAAATTTTTGTAGGAAATCAACTGCTCTATAAAAATGGTGTCTTATGTTTTGGCGATTAAATTAAGCGTTCAAAAGATATTCATCATCAAACTTTCATGCGTACTGATTTTTGTATCTGAATATCTTTTGAACAATTAATTTAATCGCCAAAACCTAAGATATCTTTTTTGTAGAGCATTAAATTTCCTACGAAATTCGTCTAGAACATTTTTCTGTACAATCAATAAATAATGAGGTATGAATTTTAATCTATTGGACTGAAAAAAAAAATAAAAAACTGCGATGCGAAGGATCTTCCTATTAAAATTAAGACCTCATATTGGGTGAGAATTCTTTTAAGGTGTCTAGGAACCCATTTTTGCGTGGCACTTGAAAAAAAAAAATAAGTCATTTTTTTGACCCTAATATATATATATTACTATTAAATGTATATATATATATATTTATGTTAATAAATTATTTTTTATTTTTTATGAAGAATTATTGTATCAAAACTTTCTAATATCATCCCATTAATTATCTTATTAGGTTTGTCTCAATTTTTAAATACATTGACCTCCATCAATAATTCATTTACAAATTATCGTCATTTACAATAAGAAGAAAAAAAGTAACAAATGGACGAATAATCAAAATAGGATAAATATGAATAAGGATTGCCATAAAAACACGTTTCAACGCTTATCGTAAAGATATTATTTCTATGCAAAAATGCAGATGGTTAATATAATGTATAAATATTTGCGTATATTAACCATAAGGAAAAAAAAAAAACTTTCATCATCATCTTCTCAACAACCGTAAATTCATACCTAATCGTTCCTATAAAAGTAGGATAACCCTTTCATTATACATATTATACACATACACATACAGTTATACCAATAGATTACACCACAAGGACACTTATTATCATTTACCTGTTTTAATTTCGAAAAAAGTGGAAAAAGTATAAAGATCAAAAGAAAAAAAAGAACTGATCGATCGGTTGATCGATTGATCCATATTTTGTCCGTTGTTTTTTCTTCTTTCCCCACCAATCCCCTCCTCTTCCCTTTTCATGAGAAATCTCGTTGGACAACTTGGTCACGTTCGACGGACTCTGACGAAACACTGACATGAGAGAAACTGCTAATATGTAACTACTAACCACTATCAACTAACTGTTGTAACAATCATTATTAATCGTTTCTGTCATTGCTATACTAATACTAATACCATACCATACTACAAATCGATTCACTGTTCTTCAAAATAAGGATAAATCAACTTTTATTTATTATCGATCTCCATATATATATTCGTATACCATATTTAATCTAGGATAAATGACCCCACCCTTTCCCTCAGCCCCCCGTTTTACCGCGTTTATAGGTGAATTATTAAACGTGTTGTCATTAGCGCGTTTTTTTCTTTTTTTTCCATTAATTTTTTTTATTTTCCTTTTTTTTTCTTCGAAGAATTATTTTCGATTTGGGTCATATCTATTAACAAACCATTATTTTATTATTATTTTGTTATTAGTATTATTTTATTATTATTTTGTTGTTATTATTATTATTATTATTATTATTTTATTATTTTAATGTATATTAAAAGGAATTAATTTGTAAATATGACGGAATCCTGTCATTGCAATTATTAGCATCGTTTGTAATATATTTAAATATATATGTGTATATGTTTGTGTGTGTACAAATAATATCCTACGCGAGACCACGCGAAACCGCACCTCTTTAGAAAGATCAGGATGCAACGAATACAACATCCCACGAATCCAAGTCAAGCTTCGCTTTCACGACGACGACGACAACGACTAATAAGTATTTGCAAGCCCACGCACTCGTCTTGGATGATTCAATCTTCTTTCTTAATCGTTGATTTTAATATTGATAAGCTCGATTTCTTCTTCTTCTTCTTTAATCAAAATCCAAATCCAAATCTAATCAATATGTACCTATCTTCCTCCCTCACCTATTTCATTTTACTCTAGCTCATCGTTTAGTTAATTTTCATTCGTTTTTAATATTTATCAAAAAAAAGTTTTTTTTTGTATTACATCACATTGTTAATGTTTTAAAACACGAATTTTATTATTTGTTTTATTCGTGCTTTTAGAAAAAAAAAGTGTATTTGCTATATATATATATATATATATATGTATATATTTCAACACAAATAATAAAAAAATAAGAAGGGAGGGAGAGAGGAGGTTAGGGAGAAAAAGAAATAGGAAATATTTGTTGTCAGAAAATATTGCTCTTTTTTTTTGTTTTTCAATTAGATTAATTAAGTTTAATAATCGTTATTAAACTTTTTGTAATGATAAGAAAAATAATAAGAAAAGAAAGAAAGAAAGTAAGAAAAAACATCCAAGAAACACTACGAAATAGTTTAACGAACAAAAAAAATAAAAAAAATGAAATGACGAAAAGTAAATGAGGGTGGGAGAGGGGTATTTTGGTTGTACTACGATTATTAACCAGTTAAGTGTGGCGATCTGTGCGCAGAGTGCGCTCCGGTGTGTGTTGCGATAATCAAGCGATGACGGATATAGTCGTCAAACACAGAGTAAGTGGCGCTGTTAAAATATTGTGATAAAAAGACGACTTTATTTTAGAAAATGAACAATTTTGTTAGTAATGTACACACAGTTTCTTAATATGAACATATATTTATACATAATCGAAAAAATTAGAGAAAAAATCGAATACTTATAGAAGTTAAAAATTTATTCTTGACTTTTTTTTGACCTCTAAACATTTTAAACATATTAAAATTTACGAATATAATTTAGTTTTCGCCAAAATTACAATTTAAACATCAAATTGTAACAAACTTTTACGCATGATATATAGAGGATATAGACGTCATAACACAAAATTTTGCCGCATCTCCATGACGGATATTGTCGTCAAACACGCTTAACTGGTTAAATACTTCTATGTTGAGATAATAAATTTTGTTTTTTATTCTCACGAGGATATGTTTTCTATGATTAAAAAAAAAAATAAAAATAAAAATAAAAAATAAATAAAAGAAGAAAAAAAAGAAGGAAGGAAGAAGAGTGATATAATAATTTATTTTTCCCTTCATTGTATAATTTGCCCTATCGAGATAAAAATGAAAGTGTGATAAAAAAAAGAGAAGAGCGAGAAGAAAGAACTATACTACGTTATGATCGGGGGGAAAGGGAAGGGTGGTTACTACTGTTTTTACGTAAGAGGTGTATTTACTCGAGAGTCGTGTGGGATGGCATTGTTATCGGTGTTCTTACACCTGTGTAATACTATCTGCCGTTAACTACCTTGATGTACCATAGCAAATAAAACACGATAGCATAGAAAGAGAAATAATAATAGAAAAAAAAGAAAAAAAAGGCAGAGAGAGAGAGAGAGAGAGAGATAACACACGTATACATGTGTGTATATGCGTCCTTGTTACAACAGTTGGAAAGTATAAATTTGTATCGAAAAGACTATAAATCATCGGTCGTAGAAACTTTCACCAATTCGGTTTATAGTTATTTCAATTTTATATATAAGTATGTATATATAGTTGATAATTTTCATTAGACAGGAAATGTTGTTATATTTTATCTTTTTAATTTTTTTAAATAAAATGTAATTGCTACTTTTACACGTTACATTACATTAACGATATGTATTGGTCTAATCGCTCGTACTGTTATCGATAAATTTTATAATTATATGATATATTATATTATTATTATATATCATATAATTATAAAAAAATAATATTGTATAATATTATATTATTTTTGTTATTATATTACAATTTTCATGAAACAATAAGTAGTTTTGCTTTATTTGTTTGTTTTTATTTTTTTTTATTATATTATTATTAGACGATAGAAAATATAATGATCGGGATTAAACCTAATCGTTTTGTACAAACTAGATCACGCGTAGGATGTGTATCGAAGCCAAGTAAGTAGTAAGTAGGTTTATCTTATACGAACCGATCCAACGTACACGTAATTTTTCCATAGTCGACACAAGAGTCACGCCTGTTACTCTACTTTTGAAAGCGGCGCCTAGGATATGATAGTTCATGTATATGATAATGATAATAGTAATAATAATAAATTAGATAACTTTAAGAAAAAAAATTTTGTTAGTCAGTAAAAACAAGTAAAAAGAAACTCTACTGCAGTTAGTAGTAATTTAGTAAAAACAAGATGAAAAATATGATAAAAATATATTTTAACTTTTTTGTTTCCTATCTTTATTTATTTATTTATTTATTGGATAATAAATGTTCTTAATTAGTCCGTCATTAACGTCAAATAACTAGTTCGTTATTTTTTATTTTTAATACTATTTTTCATCCTAATTGCTGATAACATATATAGAAAAGAAAGTGAAGGGAGAAGAGTTTATAATGCATTTAATGTATCGTTCTATAAGTGTCATTTACTATCTATTAAACTCAATGCGAACGAGATTTATTTATCAATTATTTTGGTTAATAGAATATTCGTATTTACATATATAGATATAGATAATTTTCTTATCTCAAAACGAGCATTAGGATCTTTTTTTTTTACATATATTTATTATTAATTTATTTTTCTCTTCTTTTTCTTTTCTTTTTTCTTCTTCTCAACCTTTACTGTTTTTTATTTTTCTCTTTCAAATGATATACGACATGAGAAGAAAGATCTTGATGAAATATGGCACGCGACGTTTAAAAGAATTTTTTAATCGTCACGCGTGTATATATATACATATATATGTCTATATGTCTTCATCTTTGCGTGCTTTTAACGAGAAAACAAGGAGAATGAGAAAGTTAAAAAAAAAGAAAGAAAAAAAATTGTAAAAACATCGTAAGAAGGTATTATAAACTCCCTTGTTGTAGAAATTAAAATTTATTAAAAAAAAAAATAATAATATTACTATCCATGTGTTGTTATATAAGAAAAAAAAGAAGAAGCAGAAGAAAAAAATTAAAAAAAAATCCAATTGTCATTTCTAGGATGACCCGTATCATCGAATGTATCATTAAAATCTTATCAAAAAATCTTCTAGAAATTTTTTTAATATAATATGTCGATTTTTTTTCAATTTAAATATCTTTAATTTTCTCTCTCAATATGACTTAATACTCGATTTATATTCTATTATAATATAATATATATGAATACATTTCCATTTGTTCGAATAAGAAAATATACAAAATGAGGAAAATATTTAGACAAACGTGTTAAAAATTTATAATATATCAATATAGTTAAATACTTATACATATATATATATATATATAGAGTGGGTGTAGAAAGTATTCGTACACGATCGAATGAATGAATGAATGGGAAGAAAAGATTGAAATTCGCATATAATAACATTAAAAGACGTACAGTACTAGAGGATATATCAATGTTTAAATTATTTTTAAGATGTTCGACTATTTTTAGTACTAATATTTGGATTTTGTTTTCATTCTTGTGATAACTCATCCAGTGTACTGATTAATTTTTCGTGGATGTCCATTTCTCGAGTTATTTTGCAGTTCTTTCTTAATCCATACCTATCAGTACCTTTCTATAGTAGATCGGGATCTGTTTTCTAATTCGCGATATTTCTAATAAATTTTTACATTGATTATGTAAATTAATAATTATTTTTCTTTCTTCTATCGTTGTTTCCACACGTTTTCCTCCCATTTTCCAAAAATAATTTTTAATCTTCAAAAATTTTGAGTTCAACTGATGCCGATAATACTTACAAACATACTTACGAGATCAATTATAACTAAAAAAAATTACCTGATGTTTTTACATTATGGTTTTTATAAAAACTCTTTTGCAAATAGTTCGAAATAAGAACTGTACGAATATTTATTGCTTGTATGTTTCTGCCGATTTATTGTTTTCTTTGTCAATTTTATAATTTATTCAAAAAAATTATTTTTTGCTTCATTAAATCTATTGAAGAGACTTTCAAGAATATGTATAAATTCATCATTTATACAAAATTAGTTAATAAACTATAATTTTACAAAATTTTATTTCAAATTGATCGCTGTACGAATACTTTCTACACCCACTATATATATAATTTTATACAAGTTGAGATAGCACAAAAGTTTCTTGTCACTAGCAAACAGATCATATCAAAATTTTATTTTTATATTTGATTTGTCGTTGTGTCGATGCATATCCAGTGCATTCCTTCTCTCTCTCTCTCTCTCTCTTCTTTTATTTATTAATAATTTCTTCGATAAAACCTTTCGATATGGGGTAGTAGTCCCTTTAAATTCATAAGTCCCTTTTATCGATTTCCATTAATCTTTCTTACCAACGAATAAAAAAAAAAAAGAAGAAAAAAAAAGAGAGAGCGAGAGAAAGAATGAGAAAGAGAAGAAGAAGCTTATTATACGGACGACTAGATTCGTTAATGGCTTTCTCTTCATTGATATTATTTTTATTTTTTTTTTTATATTGGTTCCCACGAGAAAGAGAGTGTATATATGAGTGTGTGTGTATGAGTATACATTTGTATACGTGAAAGGAAAAGAAATATGAGAAAGAGAAGAAACATTGAGATAGAAGTCAAAAAAAGAAAAAAATAAAAAAATAAAAAAATAAAAAAATAAAAATAAAAATAAGAAGCACTTGTTAATCTCAAGATAAAATAATATGAATTATAGTAGTTGAATCAACGACAAACGTCCATTATATATTCCTGTATATAAATCACTATTTCTTTTCTCTTTATTTTTTTCTTCCTTTCTCTCTCTCTAACTAATTATCTAATTATCAAATTATCTAATTATCTAATTATCTAATTATCTAATTATCTAATTATCTAATTATCTAATTATCTAATTATCTAATTATCTATCTATCTATCTATCTAATTATCTAATTATCTAATTATCTATCTATCTATCTATCTATCTATCTATCTATCTATCTATCTATCTATCTATCTAT